CATCCACTTGAGATTATTGAGAGGCTGTAATGACAAAGACTCAAAGATTAACACTGTTGATACCATTATTGTTAAACACATAAGAAACATTGGTTAAACAGCCAAACTTAGGCAGATATTTTCAAAAAAATAAAATAGTACTTACTTTCGTTTCTTCCCACAATTTCGTAAGCTTGCTATTGATCATCACTAGTTTGACTAGAAACTTTGGATTAAAACTAGAAGGAAAACATGTCATCTTGAACCTCCACCAACTTAGTACTCTAAGTTTTTGCGATATGTGGTTCATACTTTGCGGATTGACGCCTTTGCTTAGGATTCTTAAGAATTGAAGTTTATACATTCTTTCAAAGGCTCTTTCACTTGTACATGTTATGTCCTCCTCATAACAGTCATAATTTATTCCTATGACGCTGCTACTGTCCTGTAAAACGAACCAATGAAACATACAAGAAGGTGGTTAGTTCTCTAATTTGTAGAGTGCATTCAATAAAGATACCACAGTCCCCACTTACAGCTTTATCATCACTCAATACTTCATGAACATCAACTGCATCAGTCAAAAATTGGCGTTTTCCAGGGTCATTAAGGGATTCGTCTCGCACAATTTTTCTTCCTAGTTGGACTAGCAACTCAGACATCTCTATCCATGACTTGAAAGATATGAGAGATTTTTCAGCTAAAACGCGAAGCCCATGTTTCACATCCGAATTTTTTTTTGCTAGACAGCCTTCCACTATATCAACTGATTCACCATTGAAAAAGCAAGCTATATGAAGAAATAAACGTTTATCTTCATCACATAAGGCATCATAACTAAATTTTAAAATGTTCGCAATTTCTCCATTTCGGTCAAGGTGAGTCCTTAGTTTTGGTAGTACCTCTGTCCAATCTTGCCTGGACATTCCCCGAAAATAAGATCCCATAACCTTTAGCCCCAATGGAAGACCACCTACAAGACTCATAACTTCCCGAGCTAGCTCTTTGAAACCAGCCTTGGGGTATTTTTGACCAAAAGCATACATGCAGAAAATTTGAAGAGCTTTATCATATGATGGTAAATTCACCTTGTGGATATGGTTGATCCCACTTGCTTTTAAAACCTTTTGATCTTGTGTAGTGATGATAATCCGACTCCCAGGACCAAACCAACTAGTTTCTTTCGCCATGGCATCCAGTTGTTCTACTCGATCCACATCATCAAGAACGACAAGAACTTTCTTGTCTTTCAGCCTGTCTTTGGCAATTCCCAAATGTGAAAAATTGTTGATATCTGTCACATTGGTTAGTCGACACATAAATTGTTTTTGTAAATCCAACTTCACACTGTAGTCATCAGAATAAGCCGTTTTCGGATAATTTCTTTTGATATCATCCATAAAGACACTCATTTGAAAATCTCGAGAGTGTCGGTTGAATATATATCTAGCAATGGTGGTCTTACCTATCCCAGGCGGACCCCAAATCCCTATTTTTCTCACCTCGTCTGAATTTAGTTGTAACAATGGTTCCATATCTACCATCTGAGATTCCATCCCAACTAAGCTGTCGAAATCATTGGTTGGTGCGGAAAGGTTCAACTTGTTAGAAACATCAGTGGCAATATCTTCAATCATCTTTGCTTCATTCTTCCTGAACAAGGAGATGATCAATAGTTCAGTTATATAGCCATGAATTTTTTTCACATACTACTACATATTCAGGTATTCTCATACTTGTATGAATACAAACTGTATATCAAAGAAAGAAATTAAAGCAGCACTAGTTCAATCTACATACTTTCGAAAAAGGAAAGAGAAAGAAAGAACTTTCAGGATGGATGTTGTTTACAAGCTACAAATATACATAGGTCATTTATGTGGTAGAAAGATTTGTAAAGATTAACCACAGTTACCACTCCTTCCTTGCTTAGTGTTCTTAGGCTTTCTTGCCTTTCTTCTAGTAGTAGTAGGAGGATGTTGGGCTTCATATGTATCACAGAGCTTGCCACACAAAAATAATAACAACAAAGAAGAGTAGCAGAGAAGAAGCTACAAAGACGCAAGAAAAATAAGAAAAGTGGAGTGCAAGAAACAAAGGAAGAAGAAGGGGAAAAGCATTGTTGACAACAAGAAGTGACAAGGTTGGTTTGTGTAACTAGAAGTTGCACAACAAGAAGACTAAGAGTAACTAGTTAGTTTGTAAACTAACTAAATTGGAGTGGTTAAGAGTTCAGAATAGTTGTTAAGAGTTTTAGTGGTTAAAGAAAGTTTGCTTGTAAGCCACATGTCTAGGAACAAGGTGCGAGTCTAATAAGACAAGAGTTGGAGAAAGAACAAAGTAGACATACAAAGTTTACTCTCTTCTCTCTCTACAAGAATAACAACAAACGTAAAGAGAGAGAGTGTGAGTGTTCGTATTCTGTTGCAACACAACTGTGAGACATGAGTGAGAAACAAGTGTGAGAGTGTACAAGCAAAAACAGAGCTTTGACAAAAACAAAGAGTGATTACAAAAACAGAGTACAAGTGAGAATAAGAGAGCGAAGGTTAAAGCCAAAAGAGAGAAATTCTACAAAAATTAAGAGCAAGTGGGAATGAAGAGGACGAACCCGTTTGATGAATGGAAACCAGCGATTTGAGCCACTGTCGTCAAAGCATGTTTCCATCTCTGGACCTCCTCCTTTGTTTTTCCTTTACAAGTTTTTCTGAAGACTTTCCCAAAATAACCAGTCTGCTTCTTTACATCAGTTGGATCCACTTGATAGAAAATGGGCATCACTGTTTGACCAAACTCTTCTCTGCATTTCATGATCTCAACAAGCTCGTTCAAGCACCATGTCGACGAAGCATAGTTCTTTGAGAGCAAGACAATGGAAATCCTAGATCCTCTTATAGCTTCTATGAGCTCAGGACCGATTGGCTTACTTCTTTCTATGTTGTTGTCAATGAATAGGTTGATTGCTTTGCGGTTGAACTCCTTGAGAATGTGGCTGAGAAAGTTTACGCGGACATCTGCCCCGTGGAAGCTTGGGAAGACATGGTGTTTACCGTAGGGGGGCAAAGAAGCTGGAGGAGCCGAACGAGAAGAAGAAGAAGCCATTGTTTTGTTTTCTTGATGAGATCTGGATTTCCTGTTAAAAAAACATTGTATAACCAACGAGTAACTTTTGATCCCATTGACTGAAAAAGCTATCTTCGTGGAAACAGAGGTATCCCATTTTTCCGCGAAATTAGCGGGATAGCAAAATCAGTGGGCCTCCCTCCTATCATGCAGCCGCACCACCATTCTTATCATGATGTCGAAACCTTTTTTGTTTTTTCCGAGAGATATAATTTTAAATATGCACCATTCATCATTGTTCCCGCTGCTACTATTAGGTATATAACAAATCCATATTTCAGAATGTAAATATTTTGGCCTTAAATGGTTGGGCCAACGATTCCATTTTAGACATGTTTGTTTTATAAGTCGTACTTATATAAGTAACGACTTAGAGCTCATTCACTCTTTGTCATGTTGATTGCTTTTTTTTTTGTGAAACTGTCATGTTGATTGCAAAATTCAATTTCCACGCAAATTTGTAGTCCACAAAAACATTGGGCATGTCCTGTCATTTAGGTTCCATCATTCTCCATGCGAGAATGTCGGAACCTTTTCGTTTTCTTCCAAGGAACACTGCACTGCCTACTTCTAAATCAGAAGTTTTCTCAACTGCTGCCGATGAACAGACAAGTGTTGAGATCAATGTGTTGCAAGGTGAGAGGGAGTTTGTCCGGGATAACAAATCTCTTGGCAGCTTCCGTCTGGATGGTATCCCACCAGCACCACGTGGAGTTCCACAAATTGAAGTCAAGTTTGACACTGATGCAAATGACATTCTCTCAGTCAGTGCTAGTGACAAAGGCACATGAAAGAAACAAGACATTACCATTACTGGTGCCAGTACATGGCCCAAGGACGAGGTGCTTACAGTTTACAAACCAAACCACATTCTCAGTACTATTTGATATTGTGCTAACAGATGTTAGTATGAATGAACGTTACAGGTAGAGCAAATGGTGCAAGAAGCAGAAAGGTTTGCGAAAGATGACAAAGAGAAGAGAGATGCAATCGACACAAAGAACCAGGCGGACTCTGCTGTTTACCAGAGAAGCAACTTAAAGAACTCGGAGAGAAAATTCCAGGTGAAGTGAAAGAGAAGGTGGAGGCCAAGCTACAAGAGCTTAAAGACAAGATCGGAAGCGGATCAACGCAAGAAATCAAGGACACCATGGCTGCTCTTAACCAGGAAGTGATGCAGATTGGTCAGTCTATGTACAATCAGCCAGGGGCAGGAGCTGGGGCAGGTTCTTCACCTGGAGGTGAAGGTGATTCAGCTGCAGATTCATCGTCAAGCAAAGGTGGTGATGATGTGATCGATGCTGACTTCACTGACAGCAAATGAGAAAATCCAGTTTGGATGATTGAGATGAAGTGATCGACATTGACACACCGCAAATTAGAAAACGAACTTTTGGATGCAGGGGTGAAGCTATTTTATAAACTATGTGTGCACTTGCATCTACGGTATTAAGAAAATTTAGTGTATTTTAAAATTTATTTGTTTTATGTGCACCCACTAGAGTTTTCAAGTATGCACTCAGATAAATTCAAAAGGAAAAACAGAAATTAACCGTTTAGGCCGTAAACAAAGATGCATATATATATATATATATATATATATATATTCCAAAGAGTGAGTACAAAGTTACAGAGATAACTTCCACAGAAACACACTTCGCGACCACATATTAAACATGCATTATTTTTGTAATAGAACCCAAAGATATGGGCGATACCTTGCGATAGAGGCTAAGTGTTACGAGAGATGACCGTTTTGCTTCACCAACAGCAGCTCCTCCTTCTCATTTAAAAGCACCAGAAGATAATTTTGTTAGGGACTCAAATATGAGACCGAATAACAAAAAAAAAGAAGAGAAGTTGTCATGGAAAGTTTGTATTGTCATTTTTCGGACCTCCTAGAGTTGAAGCATCCCGCATTCTTTTATCTCCCATTCTTCGGACCTGTCTACAAGTGAATACTCGAACTGGATCTCGAACTCAAAAACAAAAACAACCTCGGTGGAAGTCATCTCCTCTGTTTCAACCTCAACCTCGAATGCGTACAGATGCCCCCCAAAAACCTGTTCTGCTATTCTAAAACAAGTATTGAGATCATTCCCTCCGGAGGTGATTCTACAACAGAGATATGCTCTTCGCCAACATCTTAAGTCATTTTCGTCCACATCGCCAGGTAATATGATGCAAGCCTTAAATTTGGTTGATTTACCAAGAGGCTTTTGATTTAACTTCACAGTCAAGGAACTCCCAGATGATCGGTAAGTGAAGCACTCAGGCACTTCTTCAGCGGGAAAGACTACATATTCATTGGTCGGATTCCGGATGATGAGATCTCTTGCTTTTTGATTTAGTTTGAAGCAGTTACGGAAATTGAGACGAATATCCGGATTTCGAAAGGAGCCATCTAGACTCTCCAGGGACTCACAAGTTTCTGCATCTAGTTTACACAGTGAATCGGGAAGGTGCGGGAGTGATACCAACCTCTTCATTCCATTTAGTGCAAGGTGATGTAGACCAGATAATGAGGAAGGAAGCTCCACCATACTTGTGCAATGACTGATGTTCAATTTTTGGAGATTAGTTGCATTCCCAATAGAAGAAGGGAGCTCCAACAAGCTTGAACAACCACTGAGATTCAGTTCATGAAGATTTTTTACATTCCCAATAGAGGAAGGTAGCTCCACCAAACTTGAGCAAACACCGAGATTCAGTTCTTGAAGATTAGTTAAATTCCCAATAGAAGAAGGGAGATCCATCAAATATGAGCAATGACTGAGTTTCAATTTTCTGAGATTAGTTGCATTCCCAATTGAGTAAGGGAGCTTCACCAGGTTTGAGCAATAGCTGAGATTCAAGTCATATAGATTAGTGGCAGTTGAAAGATCTGGAAGCTCTTCCAAAATTTCTGAACTACTCAAATCCATCCACTTGAGATTGTTGAGCGGCTGCAATGACAAATAACACATAAAGAAAAATTGGTTAGATGCCTTAACTTAAGCAGTTATATATTCAAATATAAAATATTACTTACTTTTGTTTCTTCCCACAGTTTCTTAAGTTTGCTATTCCTCATCTCTAGTTTGACTAGGAACTTTGGATTAAAAGTTGAAGGGAAACATGTCATCGTGGATTCATACCAAATTAGTACTCTAAGTTTTTGGGATATGTGGTTCATACTTTGCGGACTAACGCCTTTGCCAAGTATTCTAAGGAATTGAAGATTAGTCAATCTTTCAAAGGCTCTTTCACTTGTCCATGTTATTTCCTGAAAAGTCCCAATAGTAAATCCTATGACGCTGCTACTTTCCTGTAAAACAACCCAATGAAACATAAATAAAGATGGTTAGTTATTAAATAAATCTCTAACTTGTAGAGCGCATGCAATGAAGATACGAAAGTCACAACTTACTGCTCTATCATCACTCAATACTTCATCAACATCAATTGCATCAGTCAAAAATTGGCGTTTTCCAGGCTCATCAACCGATTGTTCTCGCACAATTTTTCTTCCCAGTTCAACTAGCAACTTAGCCATCTCTATTTCTCCCAAAAACACAGATATGAGAGATTTTTCAGTTAAGACGCGAAGCCCATGTCTCACATCCAAAAAACATTTTGCTAGACAGCCTTCCACTATATCAATCTTCTCACCGTTGAAAAAGATGGCTATATGAAGAAATAAACGTTTATCTTCATGACATAAGGAATCATAACTAAACTTTAAAATGCTTGCAATTTCTCCATCTCTATCAAGGTGTTCCTGTAACTTTGGTAATGCCTCTCTCCAATCTTGCTCGGACATTCCCCGAAAATATGAGCCCATAACTTTTAGCCCCAGTGGAAGTCCACCTACAAGATCCCTAACTTTACAAGCAAGCTCCTGGAAACCATCCTTTGGGTATTTCTGATCAAAAGCGTACATGCAGAACATTTGGAGAGCTTCATCATATGATGGTAAATTCACCTTGTGTATATGCTTGACCCCACTTGCTTTTAAAACCTTTTGATCTTGTGTAGTGATTATAATCCGACTCCCCGGACCAAACCAGTAAGTTTCTTTTGCCATGGCTTCCACTTGTTCTAAATGATCCACATCATCAAGGACGACAAGAACTTTCGTGTTTTGCAACCTGTCTTGGATGACTCCCAAATGTAAAACACTGACACATGTGTCGTTGGTTAGCTGAGACATAAGCTGCTTATGTAATTCCAACTTCACTCTGTAGTTATCGGAACAAGCTGATATTGCATACTTTCTTTTGATATTATCCACAAATGCACTCAGTTGGAAATCTTTGGAGTGTCGGTTGAACAAAGATCTAGCAATGGTGGTCTTACCAATCCCAGGCAGACCCCAAATCCCTATTTTTCTCACCTCATCTGAATCTAGCTGTAAAAGTGGTTCCAATTTTGTCATATGAGATTCCATCCCAACTAAGCCGTCAAAATCACTGGATGGTGCTGAAATGTTCAACTTGTTCGAAACATCAGTGGCAATATTTTCAATCATCTCTGCTTCATTCTTCCTGAACAAAGGAGATGATAAAAAAAATTAGTTATATAGTCATAATTTTTTTTTACATACTACACTATATATTCAAAGAAAGAAAGCAACACTTGTTCGATCATTGATGTGTTTAAAGCAATATATGTACAGAGGTCATTGATGTGTTAGAAAGATTAAGAGCAAGTGGGAGTGAAGAGAACGAACCAGTTTTTTGAATGGTAACCTGCGATTTGAGCCACTTCGGTCAAAGCATGTTTCCATCTTCGTATCTCCTCCTTTGTTTTTCCTTTGCAAGTTTTTCTGAAGACTTTCCCAAAATCACCAGTCTGCTTCTTTACATTAGTTGGTTCCACTTGATAGAAAAGAGAGATCACTGTTTGACCAAACTCTTGTCTGCACTTGATGATCTCCACCAGCTCGTTCAAGCACCATGTCGACGATGTGTAGTTCTTCGAGAGCAAGACAATCCCAATCCTCGAGCCTTTAATAGCTTCAGTGAGCTCAGGACGGATCGACTTACTTCTCTCAATATCATTGTCAATGAATAGGTTGATTGCTTTGCTCCTGAACTCCTTGACAATGTGGCTGAGAAAGTTTGTGCGGACATCTGCTCCGTGGAAGCTTGGGAAAACATGGTGTTTCCAATTGTGAGACAAAGAAGGCTGGGGAGCCAAAGGAGTTAAAGAAGAAGAAGAAGAAGCCATTGTTTTATTTTTTTTATGGGATCTTGATTTTTTGTAGAAAAAAATGGTACCCAAAAGCACCAAGAAGCATATTACAGCAGCAACAAGAATGGTAAAGAAAAAATAAGAATCCATACTAGTATGATGAAGAGAGGATCAAGATCTGAGAGCTTTCTAGTGAGGGGGAAGATTAACAAACAGAGTGACTCTTTGTATATACCAAAACGGAACTGTTCATCCTATTAATTGAAAAGGAAAGAAAGCCAGCTTCGTGGAAACATACGTACTACTTTTCCACGCGATATTTTGGGGGCAACAAAGTCAGTACTGGATCTACCTAACCTGCAGGTGTGCCAAAATATTTGTATATTGATTTTTTGGGGGTCAATTCTTGTGTACTGATTGTTGTGTCACCGTTTATCATTGTTTATGCTTTTTTTATTAAAAAAACAACAAAATGGTTGCATTAGAATCCTGATGAAGTTGTAGCTCTAGGTGTTGCGGTCCAAGTGTGTTCTCGTAAACTTGTAACTTTCACCGTATTTGCTGCAGTTAGTTCTTATTATTGACAATTATCTACTCGACTATAGGCTAGTGTTTTGGCTGGAAAATCTTGGTGGTGTTATGACTAAGATTATTCCTAGGAACTCCACTCTGCCTACATCTAAATCAGAAGTTTTCTCGACTGCTGCTGATGGACAGACAAGTGTTGAGATCAATGTGTTGCAGGGTGAGAGGGAGTTTGTCAGGGATAACAAATCTCTCGGCAGCTTCCGTCTGGATGGTATTCCACCTGCACACCACGTGGAGTTCCACAAATTGAAGTCAAGTTTGACATATGCAAATGGTATCCTATCCGTCAGTGCTAGTGACAAAGGAACCGGGAAGAAACAAGACATTACCATTACTGGTGCCAGTACATTGCCCAAGGACGAGGTGCGTACAGTTTACAAACAAACCACATTTTCGATAATTTTGATAGTTATCGTAACAAAAGGTTGGTGTGAATGAACGTTACAAGGTAGAGCAAATGGTGCAAGAAGCAGAAAGGTTTGCGAAGGATGACAAAGAGAAGAGGGATGCAATTGACACAAAGAACCAGGCGGATCCTGTTGTTTACCAGACAGAGAAGCAACTCAAAGAACTTGGAGAGAAAATTCCAGGTGAAGTGAAAGAGAAGGTGGAGGCGAAGCTACAAGAGCTTAAAGACAAGATTGGGAGCGGATCAATACAAGAAATCAAGGACACCATGGCTGCTCTTAACCAAGAAGTAATGCAGAGTGGCCAGTCTATGTACAACCAGCCTGGAGCAGGGGCGGGAGCTGCACCTGGAAGTGAAGGGGATTCATCAGCAGATTCATGGTCAAGCAAAGGTGGTGATGATGTGATCGATGCTGACTTTACAGATAGCAAATGAGAAATCGAACTTTGATGATTGAGATGATGTGATCAATACTGACTCACCTCCACTTAGATAACAAACTTGGATGCAGGGGGGGGGGGGGGCAAGACTGTGTTGCACTTGCATCTACAATATTTTGAAAATTTAGTGTATTTTTACAATTTNGCAAAGGTGGTGATGATGTGATCGATGCTGACTTTACAGATAGCAAATGAGAAATCGAACTTTGATGATTGAGATGATGTGATCAATACTGACTCACCTCCACTTAGATAACAAACTTGGATGCAGGGGGGGGGGGGGGCAAGACTGTGTTGCACTTGCATCTACAATATTTTGAAAATTTAGTGTATTTTTACAATTTATTTGTTATATGTGCACCCATTAGAATTGCAAGTATGCACTCAATAAATTTAAAAAGATAAAAAAAATTATCATTCGCTAAATAGAAAACAATTTGCAGAGGGCACTTCCACAGAAATACACTTTGCGACCACATATTATACATTCATTAATATTTTTTCTATTTTAAATAAGACCCAAAGAGATGGGCGAGATACCTTGCGGTAGAGGCTAAGCTGTCACGAGCAGATGTGAGACGACCACGTACTACTGTTAGGGACTCATATATGAGACAGAATAACCAAAAAGAGAAGTTGTCTGTTGTCACCATCATCTTCACGAACAAGCTCCAGGAATTTTGCACTTTCTCGGAATGCTTCTGACTTACTTGGGGTTTCAAGGCTTGTCCCGGGTTTCTATAATGTTTTATCGGGATGAAGGCACCTCCAATAGTTGAAGGATCCCGCACTCTATTATCTCACATGTTTGAGAGTTTCCAATACCTGAAANGAAGTTGTCTGTTGTCACCATCATCTTCACGAACAAGCTCCAGGAATTTTGCACTTTCTCGGAATGCTTCTGACTTACTTGGGGTTTCAAGGCTTGTCCCGGGTTTCTATAATGTTTTATCGGGATGAAGGCACCTCCAATAGTTGAAGGATCCCGCACTCTATTATCTCACATGTTTGAGAGTTTCCAATACCTGAAAGCGAGAGTCGGATATCGAACTCAAAAACAAGCTCGGTGGAAGTCATCTCCTCTGTTCCAACCTCACCCTCAAATGTGAACAGATGCCCCGGAAAAACTTGCTCTATTTTTTTATAGAAAGTAGTGAGCGCATTCCTTCCGGACGTGATACTACAACACACAATTACATCAAAGTCATCACCATGACATATGATGCCAGCCTTAAATTTGGTTGATTTGCCAACGGGAAACTGATTCAACTTCACAATTCCGAAACTCCCAAATGATTCGTTAGTGAAGCACTGAGGCACTTTTTCAGCCGGAAAGACACCATATTTATTAGTAGGCGTCTGGATGATGAGATCTCTCGCTTCTTTGTTTAGTTTGAAGCAGTTTTTGAAGTTGAGACGAATATCCGGATTTCGAAAGGAGCAATCTAGTCTCTCCAGGGACGAGCAATTGCATGCATCCAACACCAATATCGAATCAGGAAGCTGCGGGAGTGATGCCAGCTTCTTCATTCCGCTTAGATCAAGATAACGTAGACGAGATAATTTTCCCATCCATGGATCAAACTCTGTAGAGGATGGAAGCTCCACCATACTTACGCAATAACTGAGGTTTCTTTGGAGATTAGTTGCATTCCCAATAGAAAAAGGGAGCTCCAACAAGCTTGAGCAAGCACTGAGATTCAGGTGTTGAAGATTAGTTAAATTCCCAATAGAGGAAGGTAGCTCCACCAAACTTGAGCAATAACTAAGATCCAGGTGTTGAAGATTAGTTAAATTCCCAATATAGAAAGGGAGCTCCACCCAATTTGAGCATTTATTGAGATTCAGTTTGTGGAGATTAGTTGCATTTCCAATAGAAGAAGGGAGCTCCACCAGACTTGAGCAACGGCTGAGATTCAATTCCTGGAGATTATTTGCATTCACAATAGAGGAAGGGATCTCCACCAAGCTTGAACAACCACTGAGATAAATGTGATTGGGTTCAGTGAATATTTTAATGTTGTAGGGAAGCTTTACCAAGCTTGAGCATCCACCGAGATCAAGAGATGTGAGACTAGTGATTGTCGTAATAGATGAAGGGATCTCCACTAGACTTATGCAGTTTCTGAGATTCAATTTTCTGAGATTAATTGCATTCCCAATAGAAGAAGGGAGTTTCACGAGTCTTGAGCAATTTGAGAGATCCAGGTTATATAGATTAGTGGCAGTTGAGAGATCTGGAAGCTCTTTCAATTTTTCTGATTGACTCAAATCCATCCACTTGAGATTATTGAGAGGCTGTAATGAAATACTCAAAGATTAACACTGTTGAAACCATTATTTTTAAACACATAAGAAAAACTGGTTAGATAGCCTAATTCAAGCAGTTATATATTCAAAAATAAAATATTACTTACTTTCGTTTCTTCCCACAATTTCGTAAGCTTGCTATCGATCATCACTACTTTGACCAGGAACTTTGGATTAAATCTAGAAGGAAAACATGTCATCTTGAACCTCCACCAACTTAGTACTCTAAGTTTTTGCGATATGTGGTTTATACTTTGCGGATTAACGCCTTC